AAGAATATTGAAACGGTGTAGGGTTGGACCTCTGGATGCCCTGTCAGCCTCCTGCACAACATGAGGTTTGCCATGAGTTCTGCCTGTGTTGCTCAGGGCTTTATCCAATCTGCTCTGGAAAGCCTGCAAGGATTGGAACTGCTCCACCTCTCACAGCAATCTGTTTTGATCCTTGACTGAGTCCAGACAGCTGAAGGTTTTAATTGACTGACTGTACTGCAATTTTTCCCCAAATACAAACCCTTCTTTTACTTCACTAGCTAGCGGCCTTTTCCCAGATAAAGCTTTAGAAATTCACTGTTCATTTGCAGTGTGTGGCTGTAAAAGTCATAGTTGGTGCCTGTCTCAGCTTTTGGGATGCTGTTTTCTTTCTGCTTTGGTCAATTGCTTCAACATTTTGATTTTCAGTTCACAGTGGGATTGACTCTTCTCTACTTGAGTATTAGGGTGCCTGAGGAATGTTCCTCTACCCCTTCTCCAAATACAGTTTCTTAGGTTTTGTTTTGAAAATTGGGTTTTTGGATGTCTGGGGCTTGAACTGTAGCACCAATACCAAGCTGCCTCCGATGAATTCCCAGGATTAGGATGTGAGCACACGTCCACAGCTGGTCATTTTCTGGTTTTGGTTTGCACAGGTACTTCTGTGTCCCTTAGAATATTAAATAAGTAATGGAAGAACAGCAGCCAAGCAGAGCAAATAGTCTTGATAGTGTACATACCCTTTCCACAGCGCCAAAGGCACGCGGAATTGAGGTTTTTGGAGGAGGGAGAGTTAGCCCAGATTCCGGCTTTGCTGTTGAAATGGAGGAAAGTTGCAGGGGCAGCGCTCTGGTTACAGGTAACTGTCCCAAACTCGTGGCAGTGGCTCAGGGTTCCCGGCCTGGGGGTGCAGGTGCCGTTCCTGGTGTTGTCCATGCCGTGTGCTCCTGAGCTCGAGAGCCGCTGGAGGCCTGGGAGCCGCAGGTTGGAAAGCTGGAGGTTGGAAAGCGGGCGGTGAGGGGGGCTGTGGGTAACTCTGTGTCTCTGTGCCCTCAGATAAAGTGGATTGGTGTCACAGCGGCATGGGGAGCCACATGATCCACAGGCCCATGTCTGACCCAGGCGTGTTCTCGCACCAAGCCATGGAGAGAGACAGCACGGGAATCGTAGCGCCTTCCGGTACATTCCATCAGCCCGTCCCTGCAGGATACATGGACTTCCCGAAAGTTGGGGTAATGACCTCCTCAGCCCCAAAATGCAGCATGAATCCCCTGCTGTCCTTCTGTCTGGGCAGCAGTAGCAGCGTTGGTGGCAGCATCCTGACTGTCGCTTTTCCTTCTCGGCAGGGAATGCCTTTCTCTGTGTATGGGAACGCCATAATTCCTCCTGTAGCCCCCATCACAGATGGTACTGGAGGCCCCATCTTTAACGGGCCTCATGCTGCTGACCCCTCTTGGAACTCGCTGATCAAGATGGTTTCAAATTCCACAGAAAACAACGGGCCTCAGACGGTAATTGTTGCTGTTCCTTGCACTGTGTATTTTATCTAAAATGTATCGCGGTTCCTATCTGTGCATTTGGGAAAAGAAATCCTGGGGGAAAATTTCATAGGAAAAGCCAACTGATGTCCTGTTAGGAAAGCTTTCCCTTGCCAAGCTGGGAACACAGCAACAGGACTGGTGGGCTGTGTAGTTCAGGATGTTGTAACTGTGTTAGGAGCACACTAAAGCAGCTCTTGAGGGAGGGAGTAAGTAGCTCTTTGCTGCTCTGGTCTTGCCTGGCTTGTCCACTAAATGTTATTTAGGCAGAGGGAGTAATTCCCCATGACCTCTTGTTCGTACTCAGGAACTAATGCTGTAATGGAACATCAGTAGCTCCGGTTAGATTATATCCTGTCATTATGTTTAATTAGAGAGTGGGCCCTGTTACAACTGTTACTAAATAAAGATGTTTCTGGGCTTAATTTGCTTGGGAATGATCTGAGCTGTGGGGAGCAGCTCCCAGCTCTGGGAGACCATAGGTGTGAGGGAGGCGGGGTTTGGCCTCAGTTTGGGTTTTGCTCTGACAAGTTGATTTCTGATTTAACGAGGAAACTTTGTCCCCCGAAAGAGAGCTTTACTTGGTTACACTTGGGATTCCCCAGAGCTGAAGGTGTCAAGGGAAAATGAAGTGGCAGCAATCAGTTTCTTGTTCATGTGAACTAAAGGTCAAGAGGGGAGCAAGTGCCTTGCTCTGGGAACGGAGAGATTCGGGAACTGGGCTTGCCAGTCATTTGCTGCCCACCCAGAGCCCTGTTAATTGTCCTGGACAGGAAAACCCGTGAGCCCTGCGGTGTCCCTGTGAGCTGTGCCCCGCTTGGAGCAGCCCAAAGCACGGTGTTAACGCCGCTTTCTTTTGCAGGTGTGGACTGGAACTTGGACACCTCACATGAACAGTGTGCATATGAACCAACTGGGCTGAGTGGGATCAACGTGCTGGCCTTGAGATTCCTTTTTTGCAGAGGAAACCACAATTGGCAGAAACAGTTTATGTGCTCCCAGATCATTCTACTGATGTGCTTGACTGAAGTGTGTAGGCTTTTTGCAGAAGAACTTACTAACTGACCTTTTTCTGTGAACATTGTGACCGCCCATTCCCCACCATCATATGTTTCAACTTAGTTAGACTTTCTTCTTTCCTTTCCTCCTCTTCTTTTCGTTTTTTTCTTTTTTTTTCCCTTTTTTTTTTTTTTTTTTTGACATAACTTTCTGTTGAAGCTGTTCTTTGGCTGGTTGGTTTTAGTACTGTAAACTGCTTCTGAGCAAACACAGAAATTTAGCAAAATTATGTAAACTTGATCCTGAAGTTTTAGAATGGCAAATAAATGTACAATTGTTTACATAACAAATGGCTAAGCAGAAAGTAAATTTCAATATGTCAGTTATAGAGGCTCTACTTTATGTAGACTTAAATTAATGTGAGATATGTACCTTCATATTCAGAAATCTGGATGTTTCCTTCATACATTAAACTATTAATAAGCATAACTTTTCTACTTGTGTAATTTAAGTAAGCTATAAAAAGAACACCCCAGGCATTATTATCAGAGGGTGGTTTCCAAATGAGTGCTGGATTTCTTTGAGAATACATACGTATTATAATACGAATATTTGACATTTGAGGAGAGTTTCCCTGCTGAAGGCTCCAAAGGCAGGCCTGAATAAGGCCCACAAAGGTTTATTTGGAAGAGTCCATGTGGGAATTCCCGTGTACATTGTCAGGAGCTGTGCACAGCAGTAGCAGGAGATGAAGGGGGGTCGGTCCTGCGAGACTGGGCTGGGTGAAGCAGTGACACTGATTCAGTCAGGATTCCCGTACAGTTCCCCTCCAGAGCATTTAAAGGAGATCTACAACTCAGATGTAAGAATTATTATTTGCTTTTATTATGGTTCCTCCTTTGAAAACCAAGAAAACACCTCAGGTGTTTCTCAGAAACTACTGCCTTGTAACTGCTGTGGTATTTGAGGTGTCCACAAACCTTCTGCATACCCAAGGCCGTATATCTGCCATTAGGTGCAGTTCTGAATAAAAGCAAGCTCCTTTTTCCAGCTCTCTGATCTCCTGAAATACATCCTGTGAAGATCTGGTGGTAGCAAAGTGGATCCTAAAGTGAGGAATTGCTCAAGAAAAGGTTTGAAACTCCATCTCACTCCTTCTCGTGGTGTGGGCAAGTGCCCTTCCCCTCTGCTACAATCATTTGCTGCAGGCTTTAGTGCTGTGTAGGGTTATTAATTATTAATCCCACTGAGAAATAGTGCTCAGTCCTTATTACAACCATCAATTCCAGAGTATTTTGCTGACCTGACAGTTTAATCCATGCCTGGGGCAGTAACCGGCCTGATGCCACCACCACTGTGGCAGAGGGCTGGGCACTGGAGATCTTGGGTGAGGGGAGCCGGACCATTTTTATTCCCAGAATTTTTGAATCCTGTTTTCTCCACAATGTAATGCTTTTTATTCATCCAATAAACCAGGGAACATACTCTTTTGAGAGTGGGCAAAAGGAACAGAACCAGGGGTAGGACAAATGTGGAGAGGAAGAGAACACAGTGCAGAGTGTGTATGGTCTAAGGGATGTTTTGACCTGTCCTTGCCACAGAAGGGGTGAGGAGACACAGGTCAGAACCTGGCTGGGGAGGAGAACACGGCTAACAGTGCTTGTTAATGATTAATTTCTCTTGAATATATAATTTTCAGGAGTAGGGGCCCTGTAGTCTGGACAAGGTGGTGCGCGTTCCCCATAGCAACCTTCCAGAGGGGCTCCTTGTCAGGAAATTAAGAGACAGGACAAGAAAAAAGGGGTACAAATGGAAAAAAAAGGGAAATTTAGGCTAGCTATTGGGAATACTTACTGGAAGAGAGGGGTGAGACACAGGCCCAACCCTGGCAGGGCTCAAAGCCAGTTCAGGTAAGACCTGGATCCTTCGCGCAGGGTTAGGACAACACTCCCAGGCGTGATCCTTGGGGATGCCCAGGTGTCGGCGTCCCTGATGCTCGTGGTTCATGTCCAGCCCAGCACGTTCTGCGGTGGGAGGTGTCCCTGCCCGCGGCAGGAGGGCGTTGGCACAGTTCTGAGCTCCGTGAGAGGCGAGGCGCTTCCCCTGCCCGCGCTGCCCTTCCCGTGCCCTCAGCCGCCATGGCGGCCGCGGGGCGGCGCCCTGCGGCGGCGGCGCGCGGGCCGCGCATGCGCCCCAGCGCCGAGAGCCGCCGGCATGTGGCGGCTGGCGCGGG